CGCTCTTCCTCGGCGCCGCAGCTCTCCCAGCCTCTGCCACTCCCAGCGCTGCTGCAGCCTATCCGGCTCACGGCAAAGGCCCCGTGCGGGTGCCCGGTTCCGGCTCCGGGCCTCGCGTCCACCTGCAGCGCGCCCCCTCTGCCTTCGGGGCTGCGTTTTATTTCCGCCGAGCGGCGCCTCTCTCTGACGTCACTCCGCTCCAGCTGTATGAAAGCGCGGCTCATGAGCCACGCGGGTGGTTCCCTGGCCTGCACGCTGCTACTGCTCTCACCTCCTGTGAAGCATAAGCGAGCGTTTCCTCTGGCTCTGGGCCGGGGTCTCCTTCTAGCCCCGTTGTCCCTGGGACACTCTGCATTGTGAGGGAGGTTCTAGGATGTGTCCATAGTGCTCTCCTATTGAACCTGGAACAACCTTTGAGAACAGAGAACAGTCCCATTCACTCATTCCAAGTCCATGTGAAGGCCTGTAATCAAGCAGAGTGGACATTTTAAGAGGGATTATGAGAATGCACCCTAGTTTGAGAGTGATGTTGGAATAGATTTAATTTTCTGTGGCAATGTAGACATGCCCTTAAAGGTCTATATTATTAGGCTTCTGCTATCATATCTGAGCTGGCATAGTTACGATGGCGGAACCACCAATTGGGAGTCCCACATGAGGAACTAAAGAGACCTGAGGAACTAAAAGAGTCTGTATACAAAAGGCGGCCTGCTTCTTTACAATGTACCGGGATATTATTTTAAGTATTCCAGCCTGAGGTCAAGTAATTAACAAAAACACTGAAGAGAGAGAACTGAGGCCATTTCAGGCTATGAGATGAGGGAAACAAGCCTGTCCACAAGGCCCAAAAGCATTGGTTCTCCAATTTCTCTGTTTGTGACATCATTTCTGGCTGTGAGCCCCTCTTCTGAAACTGAATTGTCATTGGGCCTGCCACATCACTTTGGGCTGTGACCCCTTGTTTGGAAATACTGCCTAAGATTTAATTTATTTCAAAACACTTCTTAGTATGCCCTGGCAATTTGTTCAGAACATAGATATACAGACAGCTTTTGTACAAGAATGCTAGTGGTATATAAGTGAAATAAAGAAGATAGCATACATGAGGAAAGATTGAATATTTTTGCAATGTATGTACCATTCATGACAGAGTAACAGATTTATTCTATTCCATTCTGTTGTGGTCACTTAACAGTTGGTGCCATGTATTACTTAGAGTATACCATCCAAACCCTGCACTGAAATACTAATTTTCTCATGGACTCTGCTATGGAGCTCATCACTGTTGTGTCTAAGTACCTTATAAACAGCTAATATATTTTAACATACCTGTGTATGACTATTTCCATTTTACATTTATCTTCTCTGCTCAGGAGAGAGATAATGCCCTTATAATGGACTGGCTCACATCTAAAACTCTGTTGTGGAAGCTAAAAGCCTGACCTAAAGGTCAGTGCAGTCCCTAAGCAACAGATAGAAATTGGTTGCATAGGTGCCTGCACTTAGGGCTTGGAATTTCTACAGTGGTGTACCGAGGGTCTCCGGTGCCCAGAGGCCAATGCTTACATTTGTGGCCCCCCCTCCATCGCAGAGTGCCCTCTCTAGTAAAAGATATCACATGCACACACACATGCACACACACACACTTCTCCCCCCACATGCAGATGCAGAGGGCTGGGCTGAGCTGGGCCTGGTGGGGAGCGCTGCCACCACGCTGTCTCTCTGCAGACAGGCTGCAACCCTGGGACAGGTAGCTCTGCTACCGGGGGGGGGCGACATGAATTTTGGGAGGCTTTAGCTCCCAAGGCCCTCTTAGTGCCGCAGCCCAAAAGGCACAGCGTGGCGCAGTGCTCCTGGCCTGGCCAGCCTGGCCCCAACCTCCCCCTGCCTCACTTCCAGGTAGGGCATGACTCTTCCGGCCTGTCTCGGCCCCCTCCCCACCAGATGTGGTATCACCCAGCCCCCAGGCATGGCACAGCTTTTTAGGCAGGACCC